ATGCTTAAAATGTACTGAACAACTACATTCAAGACAACAGCAAGTTCCTCTCTTAATCAGTGATTCATTTAACCATAAATTGAAACAAATTATTCAGCATGGCTGATCCAACAGAACTAAGGGTCAAACTGCCAGTGCTTACTTGTTTTCTGTTTATTTTACTCAGCTCGCACAAAGTAAAAAAAAAAAAAAAAAAAAAAAAAAAGTGGTAAAAATATCAGAGAAATTGATTCTGCATACATTGGCCCTTTACTAAGCCACACCCAAAAACCGCCACCCACCAATCGTGGCTTAGCAACTGTAGCTAAGCCCAGGGGCTCTGTCAAGCTTTCGAGCGAGGGAAACAGACCAAAGCGTTTTGCATATGGATATGTGCAAATCTGATACCCGGTATCCTTAAAGTTTGGATGGGGTGGTGGAATTTTTTCCCTTTTCAAAACCTAAAACCCAAGAGGAGAAATGCCAGCGTGGATCAAGCTGTGTGAGGGGCGCTAAAGCAGCGGAGGTAAGTGTTTTGATATTCCTGACACATTCAGTGATAGACAGACGGCAATAACTCAAACATCTCTTACCCTAAACAGATCTAAACTGTGTTTCCTACAAAAACACAAAAGCTGGTTATGTTTCACTGCTGTCTTATTCCTTTTTTTAACTCGATATTGTGAGCCTCCTAACCATCCCCATATGATAATTGGCTTCATCACTCTGTCTCCTCTCCACTAATCAACTGGTGTGTGGTGTGCGGTCTGGCACAAAATGGCTGCCGTCGCTTCATCCAGTTGGATGCAGCACACTGGTGGAGGATGAGGAGCCCCCCCCCCATTGTGTAAAGTGCTTTGAGTGTCCAGAAAAGTGCTATATAATTGTAAGGAATTATTATTATTATTATAAAAATAAATTGACCAACCTCGTGCAGATCACTAAAAGTATAATAAAATTAATTTTGCAGCAGGACATAAATTAAGTCCCGCAAGATTATTTTTAAAAATTTAGTTTCATTTCAGTTCCGCTTTAAATCAAAATGTCAATGCGGCGGCATTATGAGTGACGGTAAATCCGCCGTTTTGAAGTAGTGACATCTGTACATCTAAATAAATGCACAAATCAACTTTCTCGCTGTTATACAAGATGATTCCTATGATTTCCCTGATGAATCAGACAGCCGTGAGTAATTATGCAGTAAAACATGTTAGTCAGACGTGATGCTGACAGATTTTCTCATCTTGAACAGATTGTGAAGGTCACTGACTGAACCCTTGGAGATTTAACCTTAGACACCGACCTCACTCCTGGAGGCAGGGTTATTTTACAGGCAATATCACCCGAGACCAATTTATCCCAGAAAGTGCTTCAGTGACTCAGCAGCTGAGTAACTGATCCTGATAAAATGGATCAAATTGAGCGAATGGCTCTTTGAGGATGACCAAAGTGTTTGGTCATCAGAATATAAAATGCACCAACAGACAATAAGACGTGCACAGAGCCACAACAGGGAGAATGGAGCTTTAACCGCATGCTGTACAAACTAAATGGACAAACATGTGGCACAGAAAAAGCTGTGCCCTATCTTGGCTGGCAGCTGAATAATTTTGATTTACAGTGCCGTTCATATGGGTTAGAGAAAGAAAAACATATCTTATGTCATGATATCAGAAACATGGAGAATTAATAACATGATAAATCAACATTTTACACAGTAGAGATAATACATGATCGACCTCTGTTTTGGTTTCTCTGCCGCCCCCTACATAACAATAAAGAAACTCTACACGACTCCGGTCTCAGGGCGTACTCACATTAAGTACAGTTGCCTTGAAACAGGCCAAAGCACACTTGTTTTTTTCCGTTTACTTAGCTCGCACAGTAAAAAATAAATAATGGTAAAAAATTGTAATAGAAATTGATTTTGCAGTTTAGTTTATAACAGGGCCGGAGTGGGACTCCTTTTCAGCCCTGGAGTTTCAAGCCTCAGACCGGCCCACCTCAGTTCACGACTGACTATATTAAAATACAATTCAGTTTCTAATGACACTATCACGTCTTTTTTGAGAAAACAACTGCTTTAGAACTTCAAATGTTCAACAACCCTAACAGAATTATATGTCTTAACAATAAAAATAAAAGGATTACTTTGACGAGTTTCGAACCCGGGTCTGCGGAGTCGAAAACTAACGTACTAGCCACTGAACCACAATAACTGTTTAGAATGAAATGATCAAGTTATATGATAAGCTGCGGTAAAATATTGAATAAGAAGACTGTGGTCAAGTAAATAAATATATTAATTTAAAAAGTGTGACTGCTGTAAGCAACAGATTCTGGAGCTATGGACACCGGCCCTCGCGGCCAAAAAACGGACCGGCCCACCGGGAATTCTCCCGGTCCTCCCGATTAGCCAATCCGGGCCTGGTTTATAACAGCAGACGCCGCTCTAGGCTAGTTTTTTTAACAGCAGACATCACTCTAGGCTAGTTTTTAACCACAGATGTAGCTCTAGGCTACTTTTTTTGGTGCTCTAGCCTAGATTTTAACAGCAGACGTTGCCGGGTTAGTTTTTAACAGCTGATGTTGCTCTAATTAGTTTTTAAACACCAGATGTTGCTCTAGACTATTTTTTAACAGCAGATACAGCAGATAGTGCTCTAGGTTAATTTTTAACTGTAGACAGTGCTCTGGAAAGTGTGGGTGTTTTTTTTTTTTCAAAAAGTCAACCTTTTTGTAATTATATGCCTCATTTTTATCTCAAAGTAAAGTTATATCTCAGAGTAAATTGAGTAAAATTAATATTTAAAGATTTTTTAAACTTTAATGACAGAACGTGCTATTATAGTAGCATTGAGTAACTACTGTCATCAAAAGTTTTAACCCGTTTTTTTATTTTTTATGTACAGTTTTCGTTTAAATGTTGTGTTTTATGGCAGCTGTGTTGTGTTTAAAATGTTCATTCATTCATTCATTTTCTTGTCGGCTTAGTCCCTTTATTAATCCGGGGTCGCCGCAGCAGAATGAACCGCCAACTTATCCAGCAAGTTTTTACGCAGCGGATGCCCTTCCAGCTGCAACCCATCTCTGGGGAAACATCCACACACACACTCATACACTACGGACAATTTAGCCTACTCAATTCACCTGTATCACATGTCTTTGGACTGTGGGGGAAACCAGAGCACCCGGAGGAAACCCACGCGAAGGCAGGGAGAACATGCAAACTCCACACAGAAACGCCAACTGAGCCGAGGTTCGAACCAGCGACCTTCTTGCTGTGAGGCGACAGCACTACCAACTGCGCCACTGACTCGCCGTGTTTAAAATGTTTTAGGTTTAAAATTCAAACAAACAAATTAATTAATTAATAAATAAACCTGACGACGACAACAACAACAATTATAATAATAATAACAACAATAACAATTTGTTCTGTTATCAATTACACAATTTACTATACAATTATTAAATAAATGCTTGTCAGATCACCTTTAGCTACCATCAGTGCAGACCAGTTTGACACTATAAATATAATTTCATTTTAAATTAATAAGAGACATATAAACATTAAATACTGTAACACTTTAAAGTGATAATTATTACTAATTTGTTACTCAGCATATGATTCATGTAGCACTAAAACAAACGTCATTCAACATAAATGTCTAAATGTAATGAAATTAATTTGTGGTTTAAAAAGAAAGAAAGAAAATCTCCATTTACATCATTAAAATGAGCTAAAGCAAAATAAATATGAGGAATTTTTTTTACCGCCTGTTATATTTTTAACAGCAACCAAAATTATGTTGCTGTAAGATTTTATATGATGTGGATATTACTGTAAGTACATTGAGTACATTGTCAAGCATGAAAAACTACAAATGACTCTCTAACATTTGAAGGTCAACATAAATTTGCATGTCAACTGTTTATAGTTAAGACATTGACCAAACTTATTCATCTTCATTTTCAAAACAGACAATCTATTATCAAAAGCAATGGCTGTGACTAATTATCTTACGTCATGCTATGAAGCGCTTACGATGCTTACAAATCTGCCACCTCCTGGCTTGAGAGGCGTCATGTGGGCAGCGGCGCAAAATCCATAACGAATGTCTTACAATAAAGACGTCACGCGCACAGCATGAAAACACGAGATGATTAATGAAAACAACAAACCGAGTACAATAGTCAACAGCTGAAGTATTGAGTGTCTTTACACAGAGAGGAACGTGGAGGAACTTCAGTCCTGAGAAACCTTTTTCAACGACTAAATTTCAGCTCTGACACACTAACATGTTTGTTACAGACGTGTGTTTCTTCATCACGAATTATTTTCACTTTTAAAGCAGCATTCATGCAAGCAGAAATTGACTGAGCATTTGGTAGTTCTAGTTCAGCCAACTCTTTTCTCTCATCTGACAATTTAATCTGCAAGGATTCTGTAGTGCATCTGGAAAGTATTCATATTTCTTTATTTTTTTAAGGTACCATCTAAAGCCTGGTTTATACTTCTTTGTCAAGTGATCGGCGTGACCCACGGCGCATACAACACGCGTAGATGTGCATTTATACTTCAGCGCGGTGTTTCTGTTGCTCTGCAATAACACTTCTGAAACGCTAGTTGAAATGCAGCCGTACGTGGCTCTGGCTACATAATTTGCGATCACCAGAAATGTATATAGGGCTACGTTTTCAGAATGAGCCTATGTTAAAGAAATCAGTAAGGGGGCAAAAACTTTTTAACAGTATATCATATTTATATCTGATACTCTATGCATAAACCGGCCTTGAACACCACCTACTAAATCACGACAATCGCATCATGTATTACAAGTCAGCAAGCTATGAAGGAACAATATCAAGCACACATACTGTATATCAGCAGTTTGAAACAAAATAGAAGCTGTTTATATCTTCCAGCAAAATCAAAGGCAACATCAGAGCATAAGAAACCAAAAATACATCCAAATGCCAATGCATGCTTGAGAAAGAATCAATAAGGATCTACTCACAGCATGAAGACCGCACTGCAACCTGTGTGTGTTTCCACTGTCCTCTGAAGTGTGTGTGACGCAGAGGCCGTTCAAATGAAGGACACATCTGAAGTGAAATATCTGTTGCGTAGCACCCGAAGCCTCTTTAACAAAGACCCATAGAGTGGCTTCTGCACAGATTACACACATTCCCATATGACAGTGCAATGGGTGGGACGCAGTCTGTGTGTGTGTGTGTTGGGGGTAAAGTCTGCTGAAGGCAAACCACTTGTGCCCCCCAGACTTGCTTTGTGCCAGCAGTATTAGGGGAAGCCCGGCAGACGCCTCCACAATGGCGGGCCTGTGCCAGTGTCACCCCGGGCATTTACAGGGGGCCCCGTCTTCATTTTACAGCCCACTAATGACGCCGCAGCGAACACAGCCATCTGTGAGCAGGGGGCCTTTTCTGAGCGACACAAATGAGTGGATAACATGAGAGGGAAAGGCAGATTAAGCAGGCTGCACAAAAGCAGAGTTAAGATGAGATGATTACATGGCGCTTTGTTGAGTGCTGTCAATTGTTTTGGCAGCATTATGCAAATGACATGCAAATAAGGACGGAAGGAAATGAAATTGGATTTTTGTTTTGTCATAAGGGGATTTCGCATAAACACTGAATCGTCTATGAAAGTATAAGTCAAATGAATTGAATGATTCCATTTATTTAAAATGATTCTTACTAGCTTTAAAGGGCACCTATGATGAAAAATCTACTTTTCAAGCTATTTAAACAAACATATTTGTATATATAGTGTATAGACTATCATATTGAGGTGATATAAACACGCCCAGTCCTTTTTTTACAATTTAACAACATAAAAACGGTGGACCAATTAGAGGGGTTTTCAGACCGACCGCCACTTTACGTAGGAGTGCGGTCCCCCTGCCCACCGGATTGATTGACAGCTGCGGGCATTAACATGTTCCGGTAGTCACGTGTATATGTCAACAAGACCAGGCAGATATACGCAAAGCAACCGGGAATAAAAGGTCTTTTCTGTTCGCTAGGATCAGCAATCATCATCAAATGTGATTAAGAGTAAGTTTCACATGTTTAAAGTGTTTTAAAACAGAGTATGTGTGTTATTAATTACAGCGTTTTACTTCAGCTTTACTTCATCAGCACAGCCGCGTATCAGAACAATTATAAAAGAAGACGCTTCAATCCCAGTTTGTGGAAATTAAATCAGGTTTATTTTGTACATTAACATCACAGATATCAACACAGTACTGAAGGTTAGCCTGTATCCTGTCACATTTGAGGGCAAAAACAGTGCTAAGCACGCTCTGTCTGTCTGCCTGCCTGTGTGTGTGTGTCTTTGTAACGATATTGTGTTTGACTCATCAATGCAACTTCACAATAGCCTACTGATTAGTAAAGATTAGTTCTTACTGTAGTATTTCTCACAAACGCTACGTGAGACCTTCTTCCTTTAAGTCTGTCTGTTGTCTGACGCAGCTGAGGGAGGAGGCACGTAGAAACAGTAGGCGAGAAAGACTCGTCTTAAAGGCCCGGTATGACAAAACCACCCCCTGCTGGAAATCAGTATAAAACAGCATCTTGTAAAAGGTATAATGAAAAATCTGATGGGTGTTTTGAGCTGAAACTTTATATGCACATTCTAGAGACGCTAAAGACTTATATTAAATCTGAAAAAAAGGGGTAAACTAGGTTCCCTTTAAATGTTATATTAGTATTTGAGGAAGTTTACTGGCTTTTTAATAGTCAAGAGTCTAAGGGCCCTATTATACACCTGGCGCAATGTGGCGCAAGGCATGACACAATAGTTGTTTGGTAGTTTCAGCTTGGCACAAGAGTCGTTTTGAGGTGTTGCACCACGCTGTTTAAATAGCAAATGCATTTGCGCTCATATGTGCGCCCATAGGCGTTCTGGTCTAAAAAGAAAGCCGTTCTGAGGCGCATTGCTATTTTGAGGAACTATAATAGATTTTTCAATAGACCAAAACAAACCCGGTCTAAAGTCGAGCTCAGAGTTGCGCCTCGCTTACACGCTGCTTAATACACACAAGAATTAGAGCAAAATTAATAATTTATAGGCTAATTGATGTCTGTGCATACAAGGTTTACCTATCCATGAGAGCAAAGTGAAAGTAGATCATTTATCTCTCATTCTCGCGCTGTAGATGCTCTGTTTAACTGTTTTCTTGCTAGTGAAATGCTCAGTTTTTCCACTTACACTTACTTTACGTCATGTAAATAGCAAATGCACTTGTGGCGCGACGCAACTGGCTCTTAAAGGGAATGGGAGATGAGACTCTGATTGGTTTATTCTCAAAACACACCTATAACTCATTAAGAAAATAAACTCAACCCTTTTAGACCATTATTATTATTATTACTTATTTCAGCTGTACAGTTAGTGTAAGATAATACACACACATACAGTGCATCCGGAAAGTTTTCATAGCGCTTCTTTTTCCACATTTTTTTATGTTACAGCCTTATTCCAAAATGAATTAAAATTTATTCATTTTCTCAAAATTCACACAATACCCCATAATGACTATGTGAATAAAGATTTTTGGAAATTGTGGCAAATTTATTAAAAATAAAATAAACCTGAAGAATCACATGTACATCAGTATTCACAGCCTTTGCTCAATACTTTGTTGATGCACCTTTGGCAGCGATTACAGCCTCAAGTCTTTTTAAATATGATGCCACAAGCTTGGCAAACCTGTCTTTGGGATTTTTGCCCATTCCTCTTTGCAGTACCTCTCAAGCTCTATCAGGATGGATGGGAAGCGACAGTGTACAGCCATTTTCAGATCTCTCCAGAGATGTTCAATATGATTTAGGTCTGGGCTCTGGCTGGTCCACTCAAGGACATTCATCAAGTTGTTGTGAAGCCACTCCATTGATATTTTGGCGGTGTGCTTTGGGTTATTATCCTGCTGAAAGATGAACCGTCGTCACAGTCTGGGGTCAAGAGCAATCTGAAGCAGATTTTCATTCAGGATGTCTCTGTACATTGCTGCATGTATCTTTCCCTCTATCCTGACTAGTCTTCCAGTTCCTGCTGCTGAAAAATGCGTCACTGCTTCACTTTAAGGATGGTACACGGGACAAAGGTCAAAGAAGAAGATATATATATATATATATATATACTGTGAAAATGTTCTTGGAAATAGCGTGGTATACATTTAAAGCTGACTAGTGTTAATTTTAGCCACAATTTACTTCAAATCTAGAGCCATATGCCACATCCACACGCAATCAACATCAAGGAATTAACAATAATCATCAAGCTCAAGCATAATACAATTGCACTCTATTCTCTTGGCGGTGTTGGGCAAGCACACAGGGTTCAGGAGAAAACAGGTCACAGCTGTGGTTACACACACACACACGCACACATGTCCTCCTGTGCACCTGCCGCAAAGCCACAATATAAGAAATTTCTAAAAACAAGCATATTTTCATTCATCATTAATCAGAGATATATCAACTATATTGCCAAGCATTCTAGAGCACTTATAGGGATAATTTACCCTAAAATAAATTTACTCTCAAGTGGTTTCAAAGCTTTATGGGTTACTTTTGCTGTTGTATATATTTTGAAGAATGCTAAAGACATGTAACCTGTCAAACATGACGTCAGTGGTTACAGGTTTCCAGCTATATTCAAAATATCTTCTTTTGTTTTCAACAGAAGAACTCAAAGAGGTTTAAAAAAAGTGAACGAAGAATAAATTATGACCGAAATTTGATTTTTGGGCAAAATTTCCCTTATGTATTTTAACATATAGGCCCAATCCCAATTGAATTTGTGTACCTCTACCCCTGTGCTTGTGCCTACCCATACGACTACCCATGTAATCATATTTTGATGAGCTTTATGGCACATCCTCTTACCCCAACACCTTCAAGCAAAAGACAATTGGGACAAGTGGAAGGGATAAGGAGTAGAATTGTGATTGGGCTATCGAATGTGTTTAATCTGCTGTGGCTGTTAAACACCTTAAGGGGACGATATAGTTTCTTTCCAATGTCACGTGTCTTTATATAAGGTCTGTAGTCACGAAATGTTTTATCTTGACACAAGTGTTCTCCTAAATAGCTCTTAAAACCAATTCTCAAAAGTGCTGAGACAAAGCTGTATAATAAGGAATAGAGAAAAGACTGTAAGGATGGGGTTGACTTGCTATGGATGATGTTAACTTGCTTATTAACTATGCACACAGTGACACTGTTGCCAATTATTTTCAACGAAAAAGCGCTAAACTCTCCCCAAAAGTTTGCTAGATTACGTTAAACGTTAATTAGCTTTTTACTGACGTCATCACGTTCTACGATTTCTGTTTAACAGCCTTTGGTTAATAAAGGAGTATTTATATTTTCAATACGCTTTTTGTTAGCATGTCAATTTAACTAAATGTATTGCTGTTTGAATACAGTATATCAATATAGATGTGTTGTGAATTTGCAGTAATCTCTCAGACGTAATAAACTCAGACAAGTTCTGAAACTCTCACTAAAATATCTGTGATTGTGAACAAGAAAAGAATAAACGGTCAAATTTAATTGTTAAAATAAAGGAGAAGCAGATCGGTTTGAATGTACAAGTTTACACTGCCGGTGCTAAATCATTTGCAGAGTTTCATTTGTCGGTACGGAGAGATCTGCTCTCGGGCTGCAGGTGGGAAAGAGACTGCTGTATGAGGACAGAGCTGCCTGTCAGTGCTCTGAGGCGGGTTAGGGGCCGGCGGCATCACCCGCAGCTCGTTGAGGAGGGTAGAGAAGGTACAGTATGGACAAATGACAGTCTATAAAAATCTCTAGTAACACACAAAAAAGTCACTAGATTTGTCGCTAGTCGCTTTTTTGAAAATTTGTCGCTAGGGGGGTCTGAAAAGTCGCTAAACCTAGCGACAAAGCCGTTAAGTTGGCAACACTGCACAGTGATTGGCTGATGGGGAGGGGAGGAGTCTTGGTCAAATATTGCAGAGCGCAATAGGAGGAAAAAAATAGATTAGTTGACTATAGTGAGGGCGACACGATAGGTCAGTGGTTGGCACTTTTACCTCACAGCAAGAAGGTCGCTAGTTCGAGTCCCAGCTGGGTCAGTTGGCATTTCTGTGTGGAGTTTGCATGTTCTCCCCATGTTTGCGTAGGTTTCCTCCGGGT